TGGCGGATGGCCGAGTGGTTTACGGCCATTATCCACTATCTCACGGGAATTGTTTTCGGTAGTCCCAAATTCAAATCCTTAAGGTGGCTGAACACAGTTTTTGATACCTGTGGTTCATTCACCTTTTTCTCTAAAACCCTTGATCCCTCGGTCGTCAAAAACGGCAGCAAGCTAGTTAACAACACAAACGTTGGTTTTTTGATGGTTAAGCTGACGTATGTGCCGTTGCCGTGGCAACATGAATAAATATAAACAGGCCTTTAAAATCGGTTTTGTTTATTTGCAGAAAATCTAGACATTAGATTTTCTTTATAATTTGCATGCAACAAGCTTGTGACGATTCTTACAGGTTAGCACCATTTTGCTAATAATTTAACAGAGAGATCTTCAATTATACCTTGTTGAAGGTTTACTGGAATATCTAGAATTTCCTTTGTTAAAGTTCAGTTATTTTCAATACTCCAGTTACTTATCTCCTAAAGTATTTTCGTGCCAAATTTCGTGAAATTCTAATGAGTAGTTCTCGAGAAATAGGCGTATTTCCGAGAGCACAATTTTCATTCAATCGCAATTTTTTGACTTACTACACATGCGCTGCATTTAACTGGGTTCTTTCGGTAAGAAAGAAAAAACTGAGAATTGCTGGGCTCTTTACCTTTTCTAACATATCTTTGTAATAAAAGACTAAAGCCATCAATACGCTGCGTTCAATTACAGAGAAAAATAGCACAGATACTGCGGGTGTTGAGTAAATAAAATGATCGCTCTATCGACGGCATGTTTGTTTTTTGCAATCCTTATGCGCGCGCTGAATTGCATCAGCAAAAGCGTGCGCGAAAACTGTGTTCGGCCACCTTAACCGCGTTGTGTAAATAGCCAGCCTCCTACCATCTGGGATTCTCAGTAGTTTTTGTTACACCTCCCAACTCAAATACGTTTTCTCATTGGAGGAGAACGTGTCTCGTGTCGTGGGTCAAAACTCACTAACTCCCTAGGGCAAACAAAACTCACTAACTCTCTAGAGAAACAACAACTTGAACTTTCGACTCGCACGTGATCAGATCGTGCTCCTTGAAACCCCAGCAAATTTGTGAGCCAGCCGGCGTCAAGCAAACGATTTCTTCGCAGTTTTTTTTTTCCCCATTTTTGAGTTGGGAGATGTAAAAAAACACTTAATGACTGGTCCCGCGGGAAGCAGTGAGTTTTGTTTCCCCTCGACCTAAATGTTTCCCGAGGCGAAGTCGAAGGGAACATTGAGGGTCCCGGGGAAACAAACCTCACTGTTTCCCTTGGAGCCAGTCATTAAGTGCTTAATGTCCTATTTGCAATATTCCTTTCCCCAATTAGTTAATTACTTTATTATTTATTTAACCTTCTCATACAAGAGCGGTCGTTACAAGAAACGCGTATTCCGTTGATCCTTAACCACGTTTGGATATGTTTAAATCAATCACATAAATACCCAACAATTATGCGATTGGCTTGGGAATAATTATCCAACGAATATCGCATGGCCAGACATGGACAGTTAGTTCTAGCATAGGAGGATAAATTCTCCTTAACAAACAAGTGCTAATTGCTAATGTCTTGCTTTTGGTCTGCCAACAAGGGCAAAATTAAATTGTTGTGCAGGGAATTTCCGACAATTTCCGGCAATTTACCTGAAACCAATTTCGTGGTTTGCTTTTTTGTGTGTGTGTGTGTGACTTAAGAGTCCCTGTCCATAAAAATGGAAAATAACTCGGCAAGGGTCGAAAATTCGATTTCGCTCATA